AAAAATAAAAAAGCATTTCCAGCCCAGTGCCTGTGGCTCAGTTTGTTGAGCACCATCCCATGAACCAGGAGGTCATGGTTCAATTCCCTGCCAGGGCACATGCCCGAGTTATGGGCTTGATCCCCAGTAGGTGGAGAACAGGAGGCAGCTTCTACTTCCTGCTCCCTTTCCCTTCCTTTCTCTGAAATCAATAAAAACATATTTTAAAAATTTCCAAATTTTATGCAGCCTATATTGGGGTTGAGAATGAGAACAAATGTTTCAGGTACTGAAAGTCTTTTCTTCTTTTTTCTTTTTCTTTTTAAATTTCAGCCTTGTACTATATAAATTTTGTTTAATACATTATGTCAGATGTAAAAAGGGGGGTCTGAAAATTATAATCGTTATTGCATTTTCTATTTTGGCAATTTTAATAGCAAACAAAGCTGATAGCATTGCCAAGGATATTTATAATATAGCAGAAATGCCATGGAAAAACAGTAAAATATGAAGGTCAAACCTAATTTCTTGCTTTTGTGGCCTAATTTTATGGTCCATTTTTGAATGCTGTCCAAAAGTGCACTCATGAAAGAGAATTGAGATTTGGCATGTTGCATTAATGTTCCCACAATGCTGCTGAATAAATCTTGAAAACTCTTTCTCCCTAAAGGACACTTTTTTTTTTTTTAGCTGAAGAGCTTTAAATCCTCTAGGAATAGCTTTGCTAAAGAACATTCGTCCAGAGATGTACATATGCATCACACATGCTTGATTTAGCAAACTGAAATGCATTTTTATGGGACCTAAGAAATAAAACACTTGTTACAACAACACAGAGGGAAATTTGTATCAATCCTCTTAATTTTGATTTTTTACAAAAGAAATTTAAAATCATTTTCAGTCCAATAGCTGGTTCTTTTTTCTTAAATAAGAATAGTTTTAAAATCTGAAGGACTTTTTAAATATTAAGCAATTAATAGTTGTTTGACCTGTAGATTTCTTTGTCTATGTTATACACATACTAGAGGCCTGGTGCATGAAATTCTTGCACTGGGGGGTGTCCCTCAGACCAGCCTGCACCCACTCCAATCTGGGACCCCTCAGGGGATGTCCGACTGCCGGTTTAGGCCCAATCCCACAGTCAGACATCCCTCTCACAATCCGGGACTGCTAGCTCCCAACCACTCGTCTGCCTGCTTGCCTGATTGCCCCTAACTGCTTCTGCCTGCCAGCCTGATCAGCCCTTAACCACTCCCCTGCCAACCTGATCAATGCCTAACTGCTCCCCTGCCAGCCCGACTTCCCTCCCCTGCTGCCTGGTCAGCCCTAACTGCCCTCCCCTGCCGGCCTGGTCACCCCAATTGCCATCCCCTGCAGGCCTGGTCCCCGCAACTGCCCTACCCTGTAGGCCTGGTCCCCCCCAACAGCCCTCCCCTGCAGGCCTGGTCCCCCCAACTGCCCTCTCCTGCAGGCCTGGTTCCCTCCAACTGCCCTCCCCTGCAGGCCTGGTCCCTTCCAACTGCCATCCCCTGCAGGCCTGGTCGTCCCTAACAGCCCTCCCCTGCCGGCCTGGTCAATCCTAACTGCCTTCCCCTGCTGGCCATCTTGTGGCCACATGGGGACAGCCATCTTGTGTGAAGGTGTGACAGTTAATTTGCATATTACCTCTTTATTACATAGAATATATTATAAAAGCGTGATTCTAAAATTACCTCTTTCACTGACAAAACATTATTTTTAATTGATGTCGCGAGATGATCGTGACCATTGCTGGCTATGACAATCTGGTGAAAATCATAAATACTCTTCCTAGGAAAATGCACATACACATGGAACTTTCTATACAATTTCAGGAAGTCCATGGACCCCTTGATGTCTGTCCAGGGCCTCCAGGTTATAATATCCTGGACTAGATAAAAACAAGTAATTAAGTGGATAAATGGACTGATAATAATATTACTTAAGGCAGTTGTTCTTCTTATGTAAGAAATATAATAAACTAATTTTATATCCCATGATTTAAATATGTAAAGCATATTTGAAGGTCTAGTTTATATACATTTTAACACAAGTTATATGGAAGTGTAGTTCACTATTTTAATTGAAAATGTCTCTTGATATAAAATGAATACCTTTTATATTATTAGAAGTAAAGTTTTCAGAATAATTATGACTCTGCTAACTTTTAAAATACTAAGCAGGGAGCACCCTTCTAGTTGATAGTTGGAATGCTGCCCAATTCATGAATTGCTTAGTAAAGCCAATTAGATCTCAAAAAAATAAAATAAAATGCTAAGCAATACTTTTCATCTACTCATGTAATTTTATGAACATGATGCTGCAGTGCAGGGACTTAAAATGCTGTCTCATATTTCTATTAAGTACACTTGCCAGGTTCCATTATTTTAAGGTATTGTTCTAGGTACTAAAGGTGTTAGAAAATGAAAAAAAGTTATAATTTTACATAATACCTGCTAGAGCTTTATTTTATTGAGTAAATAATGCATATTATGCTGTGTAAAATACACATTATGATGATTACCAATTATCTAAGTATGTGTGAGTAATATCATTACCAATCTTAAATGATATATGTAAAACTTCTTTCTGAATACTGGGAGTTTATTATAATGTAATTACTATATGAAGAAACTGATGTACATATATTCTAACATAACCACTATTATAATAATAATAATATTCATTTAATACAGGGTGGGACAAAAGTAGGTCTTCAGTTGTTTGTATGGAAAATAATACAATCTATATATATAAAAGCCTAAAATGCTAAGTGTCTGACCAATCGGTGGACCTTTCTGTAGACCACTCGACCAGTTGCTATGACGAACATTGACCATCAGGAGGCAGATTCTCCAACCAGTAGGTTAGCTTGCTGCTGGGGTCTGGCTGATTGGGACTGGGTGAGATGGGCTGGACACATCCTGGAGCCTTCCCGCGACCCCTCCCCAGCCAGCTAACCTCCTACAGTTCCCCCACCACCACAATCCCTGGCCAGCTAGCCCCCATTGGCCCTGATCAGGACTAGGCAGGAAGGGCATGATCAGTCCTATTGCAAGCCAGGCCAAGGGACCCCCACCCATGCATGAATATGTGCACTGGGCCTCTAGTAATTAATAAAGAATAATACAAGAGCCCAGCTGGCATGGCTCAGTGGTTGATCATCGACCTATAAAACAAAAGGTCATGGTTTTGCTTCCCTGTCAGGGTGTGGGCTCGACCCCCATTAGGGAGTGTTCAGGAGGCAACTGATCAATTATTCTCTCTCATCATTGTTGTTTCTATCTCTCCCGCTCCCTTCCTCTCTGAAATCAACAAAAATATATTTTTTAAAAAGACTAATACAAGAATAACCTCTGTGTTTTGCATGCTTAGAACTGTAAACTTACTTGCATAAAAACAATTGCAATTAAATATGTACATAGGTTATTGCTGCAAATAGCTAATAGCTAAACACCTGACTAGAAAGAACAGTGAACTAATTTTTCTCCCTGATAACTCTCAAAGACAAGAGATGCCCCAGATAACAAAATACTCTTTATGGAAGTACTGAACTTAAATGAACTCTCTTTGATTTAGTATTTTGTAGCTTTGGTGTTTTATTAATATTCAAATAAGTGTTATGTGAAATAAATGTGTAAGTTCAGTTGGTTAAAGAAATTTCAGCAAGAATTCTTAAAGCTCTATTGTAGAACATATTCAACTAGAATAAAATGCTTTCAAGCAATTTCCCAGTGTGATGTGGGGACTCCATATCACCATTGCTCTACAGGGAAATGCAGAAGGCACATGAGATTGAGTGAAATTGTATTGATCTAGATCTGGAAGGAGGATTGAAAAAAACAAACCACAGATAACATTTTATTTGTCTGTGCAAAAAATATTGGCTGAGATGTGCAATTAAATAATGGTGAAGACATATTTCTAGCAGGTGAAATACAAAGATGTAGATTTTTTTCGAATAGAAAAAATAGATACTGACACAGAGAGAAAATGAGAGCTATGAAACTATGCATGGGAATTCTGTAGCTCACTAAAATTAATTTAAAATTATGTAAATTACACAACAGTAGAGAATATGACAGGTATACAGATTGCTATAAAGCACTAGAGAAGTCGTATTGTTGTAAAAGTTTAGAAGAGAGGCTCATATTTGGAACATCAAGAAAGGACTCGTGAATTTGTTAATACTTGAGTCACACTTTGAAGGATAGGTAACATTTGAACAACAAACGATGAGAACAGGATATGGAAGGAATGCTGTGATCCAAGGAACAGAGGTAGAAATGCTAGGGTATTTTTGTGGATTAGTTGGATAGTGGAGTTGGTTACAAGGATTGGTGAGAGATTAAGGCTAAGGGCTGAGGTAACCCATGGAACTTCTTGGGTGCTGAGTTGAAAGGAACGATCTTCATTCTATGGGCAGTGAGTGAAGAGCCCATGAATGATTTTGGAAAAGATAAAGCATGTTCTGAGGTGGCCTCACATCTATGCAGTATTCAGTTCCAAAAGGGTTATATTTTCAATAAGTATGTATAGCACCCTCTCAAGTATGTATTGCACTAGTCTGAAAATAAGCACAGAATAGAAACATGACACATATATAAACTCACTTTTTATTCTCAGATGATAGTAATGAATAGATAACATTGGCACAAGCATATTTTTCCATAAAAAAAAATAAAGAAACACCACTATACTCAGCACACAAAAAAAGTATTAGCAGGAACTGAGAACTTCTGGTAAGCACTAAGTTTACAAGCACAGGCATTTAGTAGGGGGTATGCGGGATAAGTTTCTAGAAGACATGTAGTTAGTAAAACAAACAAAATCAGTGTTGTTTACTACTTGTCTGGCAGAAATTATTCTTAGGCATGAGAAGCTGTTCTCAAGGATCAAGACGAAACATCTAAGAATTCGGGCCAGAGTTACCAGAAGATTATACTTAGTTATGCAAGTGGAGTAACTTGGGTTTTATAATGTTAGGATGTGGAAACTCTTACCTCGCACAACAAGGTCGGCTGAAGCTGAGGAATTGTCCACAATGGTCTGCGCGGTGCACGTGTATCTGCCAGCATGCTTCAGCTGGGCATTTCGAATGAGCAGTTCCCCATTGGCGTCCAGCTGGGGGCAGAGCAGCAGTCACTCGAATCAGTACATTTTCGACCAATTACATGGCATTTAGGATACAAGGAGCACATTTTTACTCTAACAAAGTGAACCCCGTGGAAAGGCATGTGTGGTAGATATGCTAACCACATGTCTTTGCTCAGGGTGCTTAAATTGTGGGCGTCCTTGGGTAAAAAATAAAGTGAGTTAATTACTCAAGGGCCATTTTAGCCCCCGTATCTTTAACATTTTATTATTTCTACTAGCAGAGGCACATACTGGAAGTAACCAAGGGATGAAACTATGTCTTGGTGTCTTTTCAAGAGAAATATTAAGGTCTAAAAATCTTAGTGATGAATGTCAGTGAGGACAAATTCATGCTATATGGCTAGGAAGAATTATTAATTTAGTCTGGAAGAATTGATCTAATTAATAATTTCAGGATGTGTCACAGTTCACTTTACGAAGTTTACAGAACCTGTCAAAAAGGAAAATTCTACTTTCTTGTTCTTTTTTTTTTTGCCAAAATATAAGCTCCATATGGGCAATGATTTTTGTCTTGTTCGCTGCTCTATTCCCAGGGCTCAAAGAGTATTTTTGTCTTGTTCATTGCTCTATTCCCAGTGCTCAAAAGAGCAAAATATATATATATATATAT